ATGAACTAAGTTCATCCTCCTAGACCAGAGGCCAGCACATTTTTTCTCTGAAGGATCAGATAATAAATGTGTCACGTTTTGTGGACCATATATGTGTCTATCTCATATTCCTCTCCCCTCTCTTATTCTCAAAGCACAAAAATAGTCTGTGGGCCAAAGGTGGCCAACAAGTTATTGGCTAGTCCTTCCCCTAGACAGTCTTCATGGGGCCTCTCCTCTATGTGATGTTGAAAAAGCATGCTGCCTCCTCTTTTGCCTTCTGGCAGTGCTTTCTCAAAGAAAATTGTAGTACAGTTGAAATTATGTTAGGTGGGGATGGTAGTGGTAAAATTTGATGTTAAAAAGTCTTAATCTTAGAAAGATTGGGAAGATTTTCCTAGAGTTCAAAAAGCAGAAGTTTTGTGGGGAGAAAGAAAGCTAGTTTCAGACACAGTTTAATTCTGGCTATTTAGAGGGACATTATGCACCTGATGTGGGAATGGTGGTTTAGTCAGTTTTGTCTGGGTCTTCCAAGTACTTTGAAAGTTTTTCTGTGTTGCATGTCACCATTTTTGAAATGTTTACCTTGTCTGAAACTTTTTCTTTTTATGTAAAAAGGAATTTCTACATTTTTTTTGAGTGTGAGGTATTGGAATGTATTTTGGAGAATTGGCAGTGGCTCTTCTGTCTGGCTTATTCACCTTGACTTTCTCTTTGGAACCAAATATAAATTGAGATTTATTACCTGTTTGCAAATGTGTGGAAAGAGATTTTCTCTTGTGCTGTTGGTTCCTAGCAGAAGGTCGTGAATAATACACAAGGTGGTTGCTTATATTGATAAACCTGGTTAATTTTAATTATAAGACTAAGATATATGCTAACATTTAAAATTTTGTTTTTATGATACTGAATATATATACTTTCCCCTCAAAAACAGTTGTTTTTAACCAAAGAGGGGGAAATGCCCTTGGGCACTTAATGACATGTTTGGCTAAATTGAGATGTATGGATTTGTTCTTTCTTTATGTTTGTTTTGTCAACTCATTGACTGTGTTAGTATGAGTGCAGTTTCATCGATGTGCTCCTGGATTGTGGTGGGAAGTGCTCAGTAAATATCTGTTAAATTGCTGAAGTCATTGTCTTGGAGGACAGTACCCAGGGAACTGCCTTGATTGAGGTATTGTGTTCTTTCTGCACTTCATGAAAATTCTTAGAGGGCCACTGCATTTTGGGAGAGCAGCACTGTGCCTCTTAAATTGAAAATTTAAATATAATATAGAATTATTCCAAAACAGCTTTAAAGAGCAACAGGGGTCAAGAAACATGAAAGAGTCTCAGGCCACACCGTTTCTTGCTTACTGAGTGAGGTAGAGGTGGGTTCTTAGTGTGGAGGCAAACAGGAGGGCAAATAAGGGTAGGGTCCCTGAACACTCTTTTAAAAAAATAGATACCAGGCAAAATGACTGTAATTTTTAACTGTTTTTGCCCAGCATTTGATTTCAAACCTGGGATTTTTTTTTTTGTCAGTTGATGGGATAGCTAGTAACATAAACTTAATTAATGATGGGAAAGGCAATCTTCTCCGATTAATTTCTGATTAAATAATTATTTCTTCAGTTTGTACCTCAATGTATACTTTGGTAGGTGGCTTATAAAAATATATAATATAAGAAGATATAAAGCCGGTTTCGGTGGCTCAGCCTGTATCCCGTGCCTTTGGGAGGCTGAGGTGAGTGGATTGCCCGAGCTCGCGGGTTCGAGACCTGCCTGGGCAACTTGGCAAGACCTCATCTCTACAATAAATCAAAAATTAGCTGGGCGTGGTAGTGCGCACCTGTAGCTCCAGCTACTCAGAAGGCGGAGGCGGAAGGATCGCCGGATCCCAGCAGATCGAGGCTGCGGTGGCCGGGAGCGGCCACTGCACTCCAGTCTGGGTGACAGAGTGAGACTCCAACTCAAAAAAAAAAAAAGAAGATATAAAGATAAGTGAGGAAATGGAATGAAGGTAATAATTCCTTTATTCTCTCATTTATTTATATATTTAATAAATACTTAGTAAGTGCCTACAGTATGCAAAGCACTCTTCACTATTCTCTACTTGGAATATTTCAGTGGACAAAATAAACCCCCCACTCCTTATGGAGCTATAGTCTAGCTTGGGGTAAAAGCAGATAGACAACAAATAAATGCACAAGTAAGTATGCAACATGGCTGGTGTTAATTCCTGCTTCATGGACAGGAAAGCAAGAGAAGGGCAAAGGGAGCAACAGGAGGGAGGGTGAGGGAAGAAGGAAGGGCTGTGATTTTATGAAGGAGGTCCAGGAAGGCCTCTGATGAGGTGACATTTGACTTGAGACCTCAGTGGAGAGGTGAGTCATATGAATCTAAAAACCACGAGTATCGGATAGAAGGAAAGTTAGGTACCAAGGCTTGAATGCTAGAGCATGCTAGGTGTGTTTGGGGAACAGATAGGTGGTTGGGATAGCTGGAATGAAGTGGGGGGTGGGGTGGGAAGAAGGTGAGGGGAATGTAATAGGCCATTGTAAGAGTAAGATTTTACTCTGAGATACAGGAAGCCACTGGAGGATTTTTGGGCAAAGTAATGACCACCATTTTTTGACCTCCATTAAAAAAACAAAAACAAAAAACATCCCGCCAGCCGTGCAGAGAATAGTTAGTGAGGGCAAAGAAGGAAGCAGGGAGTCTAGTTAAGAGGCTTTTGTAATAATTCAGAAGATAGATGGCGGTGACTTGGGTACACCTCAGGTACCCACCTTACTAGTAGAGGTGGTAAGAAGTGGTTGGATTCTGGATATGTCTTGAGGAAAATACTGACAGGACTAACTGATGGTTTGAGTGGGTCTAAAAAGGAAATCAAGTTTTGTCCTGAGTTACTAGAGGAATTGGATTGTCATTGATTGAGATAGATAAGGCTGAGAGGAGGTTGTTCAACAAAGTAGGAATGAAAGAGAACTTGCTCAACCTTATAAAAGATATCTACCAAAAACTCACAGTTCACATCATACTTAATGTGAAACACCAAATGCTTTTCTTCTAGAATCAGGAAGAAGAAAAGAATGCTCCCCTTGCCACTTCTATGTAACATTGTACAGGCAGTTCTAGCCATTGCAACTAGGCATGAAAAGAAAGTAAAAGGTATCCAGATTATTAAGAATTAAAACGATCTCTTTTTGCAGATGACATGGTCTTATATACAGAAAATCCTAAGGAATCTACTGAAAAACTATTAGAACTAATAAATGGGTTTAGCAAGGTTGCAAACCTTGATTGATACAAGATCAATATGCAAAATTCTATGCACTAGCCAGAAATGGAATTAAGAAACATTCCAGAAATGAGAATAAGGAAACAATAATGTTTACTGCTGTGAGATTGGATGAGATCACCCAAAGAGAGTCTGGTTAGAGGGGGGAAAATGTCTGATTCGATATTCAAAGGTCAGGGAGAGGAGGAGGAGCCAGCAAAGGAGACAGATATGGAGCAAGCAGTGAGGTAACTAGCAGCCAAGAGAGTCACGTTCTGGGGGCAAATATTTGAGGAAGGAGGAGGTGATCAACAGTGTATGGTGGGCCGGGCTCGGTGGCTCAGCCTGTCATCCCAGCACTTTGGGAGGCCCAGGCGAATGGATTGCCTGAGCCCGCGGGTTCAACACCAACCCAGACAACTTGGTGAGACCTCGTCTCTACAAAAAATAAAAAATTAGCCAGGCATGGTGGTGGTGCGTGCCTGTAGTTCTCCAGCTACTTGGAAGCTGAGGCAGAAGAATCGCCGGAGCCCAGCAGGTCGATGCTGAGGTTGCCGTGAGTGTGCCACTGCACTCCAGCCTGGGTGACAGAGTGAGACTTCGACTCAAAACAAAACAAAACAACTAAACAGTTTATGACTCTGCTGCTGAAGAGTGAGTAAGACAAGAACTGGGGATTGACAGCTGAGTAAATGAATGAGCATGGGTGAAAAGAAAGAGGAAGAATGGGAAAGGGAGAGCGGGAATGAGAAAGGGTCTGTTCAGAACCAATACTTTTTCTTGAAAATACAGATCGAGTACTGAAAACTCATTATGCAAATTCATTTCCTCCTTAATAGATTTAACAAACTGCATGTTATTCTCAATTACTATTAAAAGCTTATAAGTACGCACTGTCAATTTCGGTACTATTTCACTGTAGTCTGTGACAGTTTGCTGAGTGCATTGATACTAGTCCATAGAACCCACTTTGTGTTGTGTTGGTCTAGGATTAGCCAAAGGAACAAGAACTGAAGTTGATTCAATGTGGGTTTGAATACTGGGTTTGATGGCGGGAGGCACTTATTAGAGAATCAACATTGATCTCTTTCTCTAAGAAGCTATTTGTTTCCTTATTTAGAGAGCATGAAGCCTGAAGTTTGCTCCTACGTAAGTTATAATCATGAGCAAGTCAGAAATCTTACATGAAGCATTAAACCTTTCTATAAATGCTATAAATGCTATCTGCTCTCTTCTCCATAATTCTGACATTTCTGTGGTATTTTAGACTGAATTGCTCATTTAAGTCTCATACAACCCTGCAAAGTGGGTGGATTTTTTTTTTTTTTTTTAAATCTCCATGAAGAAGCATACTCACAGAAAGGAAACAACTTATCCACCCTCATGCTGTTTGGACATGAGAGAGCCAAGACTACCCTTTCAGATCCACGAGCTTGCCACCAGACTGGGCTGAGGGATTTTAATCCTCTTCTACATCTGAATTTAATATTAGAGTGCTTTGATAGTTTATGTTATACTTTTGTTACCATGAATTTACAGGTTGAATTTAGTGTTGCTGTGTGTGTATGTGTGTGTGTGTGTGTGTGTGTGTGTGTGTGTGTGTGTGTGTGTGTGTTGGCAACATAGCAAGGTAAATAAATTTTTTCTTTTGCATCTAAACAGTTGATGAATTACACTGCTGGTTTTAAATTTTGATCAGAAGTGCTCTTGATCCTAGAAATGCTGTCTTGTAACTGAGTTGTCTCCTTTTTCACAGCATATGAGTTATTTGCGTTCATCAGTCATATGGGAACATCTACAATGAGTGGCCATTATGTTTGCCATATCAAAAAGGAAGGAAGGTGAGTCTTTTTTAGAAGGTAAATGATAGCTGTGGTTTATTGAGCACCTACCATGTGCCAGACATAGGCGCTTCGTATGTTACCTCTCACATTGGTCTTGTAAGGCAGGAGTCCCCAATCCTACCCATCCTTGACCTGTTAGGAGCCGGGCTGCTTGGCAGGAGGTGGGTAGTGGGTGAGCGAGTGAAGCTTCATCAGAATTTACAGCTGCTCCCCATTGTTCACGTTATCGTCTGAGCTCCACCTCCTGTCAGATCAGCAACATTAGATTCTCACAGGAGTATAAACCCTAATGTGAACTGCACATGCAAGGGGATCTAGGTTGTGCACTCCTTATGAGAATCTAATACCTGATGACCTGAGGTGGAGCTGAGGCGATCATGCTAGCTCTGGGGAGCGACTGCAAATACAGATTATCATTAGCAGTGAGGTCTGGCTAAACAGAGACCATCATAAATCAGTTGCTTGCAGACTCAAAACCCTATCAGCAACCTGAGACCCAATCCCCACCACCACACAAATACCCATGTGTACCCCCAGAAGCTAAAATAATAAATAAAAAGAAACTCTATCAGTGAGTGACAAGTGAGTTGATATACTTCAGTTGTACAGTTGCATCTGGTGACAAGCTTTAAGTCAGAATCTGACACTTGTCTAGTCTGTATGTGGCCCACTTGTTATTTTATTTATTACTTCTGTCCACACCTCTTCTTTTTAATGGTGAGTTGTATAATTATTTCATTATATATTATAGTGTAATGACTATAGAAATAAAGTGCACGATCAATGTTTTGCACTTGAATCATCCCAAAACCATCCTCTCCCCACCCCCAGGCCATGGAAAAATTATCTTCCACAAAACCGATCCCTGATTCCAAAAGGTTGGGGACGCTGTTGTAAGGGATATATATACTCTTAGCAGCATCTTACTCCTCAGGACACTGAGGCTCAGGGAGACTCAAGAGCATGACCTTAGCTAGTAAGTAGCTGTGTCAGAGTTGGTATTTAAAGCCACTCTCAACCATCATACTAAGGTGACTTCCCAAAATAAAGATGCATCCTGCAGCAGAATGTAACCTCTATAGTACTGCCGTATATAGCCAACAAAACAAAAAAACCAGGATGCCCTGTTAAATTTGAATTTCAAATAAATAATGGATAATTTTTTAGTATGAATATGGTTCAAATATTGCACATCCCAAACATTGCATGAGACATAATTATACTACAATCATTTGTTGCTTACCTGGTATTCAAATTGAACTGGGTCACCTGTGTTTTATCTGGCGACTCTTCAGTGCTTTGCCTTATTATGGACTTGCAGTTGGCATTTCAGCTTCTTACGTAGAATTGTTAGGTGTGTGGTAAACCAGGAGTGAGACAGTTCTTTCTTCAGTTCTCCCTGGGCTGGATCCCCTTAGGTCCCACTGGCACCCTTCCTACATATCAGAACTCAGCGACCCGTGGGTCTGCACTCCTGCTTGAGGGCATCACCCAGGACACGTGGAAGCTGGAGAGACATGTGAGCTTGGCCTCTTCCCCCCATGCCTCACACTACAGGGATAACCAGATTCCCACCAGGACTCGATTATATTCCTTTTTTGTTGTGTCTATTAATTTTGTCTTCTCTCTCTCTCTCTCTCTCTCTCTCTCTCTCTCTCGTTAGGGTCTTACTCTCACCCAGGCTGGAGTGCACTGGCATGATCATGGCTCACCTCATCCTCAGCCTCTTGGGCTCAGGCGATCCTTCTGCCTCAGCCTCCCGAGTTGAGGCTAGAGGCATGTATCACCATGCCTGGTTAATTTTTGAGGTTTTTTGGAATTTTCTTGTAGAGACAGTGTCTCACTATGTTGCTCAGGCTGGTCTTGAACTCCTGTGCTCAAGCAATCCTTCTGCCTTGGCCTCCCAGAGTGCTGGGATTATAGGCGTGAGCCACTGTGCCTGCCTAGTTTTATCTTGTCAACTTGATTAATGAAATAGTTGAGCACAGGGACTTGTATTTATAATGACTTCTTTCTGTTGCCAAGCATAACTTAAAAAAAAACTTGTAAAAAAGCGTAATTATAAAACAATAAAATCCATTGTGAATAATTTATAAAATGCAAAAAACACCAACAAAATGTACTCTGGCCTAAGATAATTATTGCCTACATTTCTTTGTTTTATTGGCCACTTTGAAGGAGGGTGCATATATGTTTGTATATATGCCTGTAAATATACATGTGTATTTCCTTTTTTTTTTTTTGAGTTGGAGTCTCACTCCATTGCCCAGGTTGGAGAGCAGTGGCTTGCTCACGGCCACTCCAGCATCGACCCGCTGTGCTCAGGTGATCCTTCCACCTCAGCCTTCCAAGTAGCTGGAACTACAGCTGAGCGCTACCACACCTGGCTAATTTTTTGATTTATTGTAGAGATTAAGTCCTCACCAAGTTGCCCAGGCTGTTGTTGAACCTGTGGGCTTAGGCAATCCCCTCACCTCAGCCTCCCAAAGTGCTGGGATGACAGGCTTGAGCCACCACGCCTGGCCTACATGTATATTTCTGACTTTACTAAGAACTTAAGCTATTTGCAGGGTATATACAATTTTGTAACCTGTGTTTTCCCATCTCATATTATTTTGTGGTTCTTACTTCACCAAATATTCTTTTGAAGTAATTTTCATAGTTTTATAATAATTTACTGCATGGATTTTTAATTCTGGTTTTTAGCTAATTTTATACCGAAGACTGGAATAATTCTTCGATTTAATTTCTGGGGCTATCCATGAATTTCTACCAAAGGAATTGCTGGATCAAAAGTTCAGATATTTGGAGCCTTCTGATACATTTTAGTAACTAATTTTCGTTTGAGCTCAAGATAAAAAAGCAGTGATAGGAGAGTGTGGTGGCACACACCCGAAGTCCCAACTACTCAGGTGTCTGAGGTAGAAGAATTGCTTGAGGCCAGGAATTTGAGACCACCTTAGGCAAAATAGCATAGTCTTTTTTTTTTGAATTGGAGTCTCACTCTGCCGTCCAGGCTGGAGTGCAGTGGCAGGCTCACGGCCACCGCAGCCTCGACCTTCTGGGCTCAGGCGATCTTTCCGCCTCAAACCCTCAAGTAGCTGGAACTACAGGCATGCACCACCATGCCTGGCTAATTTTTTGATTTATTGTAGAGATGAGGTCTCACCTTGCCCGGGCTGGTCTCGAACCCATGAGCTCAGGCAATCCTCTTACCTCGGCCTCCCAAAGTGCTGAGATTATAGGTGTGAGTCACTGCACCTGACCTAAGACCCTGTCTTTACAAAAAAGTTTAAAAATTAACCAGACATGATGCTGTGCTCCTGTAGCCCCAACTACACAGGAGGCTGAGTTGGGAGGATGGCTTGAACCCAGGAGTTTGAGGCTACAGTGAGCTGTGATGACACCACTGCTCTCCAGCTTGGATGACCCTGTCTCTAAAAGAAAAAAAGCAGTTGTAATTCCTCACCAGCACTCTGTTCCTTTTTATATAATGAACTTGAGTTTGGTTATCTTAAAACATCTTGGCTATTTTAAGTATTGTGTTCCATGTGATGCAATAACTTCTTTTTGCAAAGTTTCCTGGAACTACATTTATCAAATCTTCTGTCTTTTCTTTACAGATGGGTGATCTACAATGACCACAAAGTTTGTGCCTCAGAAAGGCCCCCTAAGGACTTGGGCTACATGTACTTTTACCGCAGGATACCAAGCTAAACCTCACACATACAGATTGGCGAGAGGAAGCCATATGCCTTTTTAATTTGCCAAAAAAAAAAAAAAAAAAAAAAAAAAAAAAGAGTTGAGACAGCCTGATATGAAGGAATACATGGGGAATTTATAGTTTATTTAAACAGCACGATCATTTGACGCCTTCTGAAATAGAACTGGGAAGAAATTTCTATTAGTGATGATACACTATTGTAGATAGTTTTTATAAATGTTCAAGGAGAGGATAATATTTAAAAAAAAAAAGTATTCATATTGCTGGTGGGGGATCGGCCACCAGCACATCAAAAATGGGGATGTGTCCAGCCCTCTGTTTTACTTTGGGGGTCAGTGGTCGTGACCTCCAGAGAAGCTGATGATTGTGGCCAGTGGTATGGCCTTACCCACAATAAACAAGAAGCCCACTTTTGTTTCTATAGAAAATCAGCAACTGGGCAGGGCTTTATTTGTGACATAATTTTTGTTCATTACATACAACCATTTTCTGACCTATCCATGTAGATATTATGCTCAGTCCATAATAGAGCATCTGCAATGAGAGATATTTTTAATTTAAATCATATCAAAATCATAATACACTTGTGTGAATGTGTGTGAGAGTGAGAGCGTGTGAGACCTTTACTAGAAAAGTGAGTTCACCAGAAATTCTGGGACGGGTTGGTTTTTAAAGGCTAATGGTTGGTATTCAGCATATCTGAAAAAAGCAAGTAAATATTTTAACGAAACTATAACTCAGGAACATTTAAAAAAGATTAGCTCTCCACTTAGATTTTAAGGAATAAAAAGGGCTGAGTCAACCCTTAAAGTGCTGTCAAGAATGCACTTGGGTTTGTAATATTTGGTGGTGTAATGCCAGATGCCCACAGCAGCATCATATTGTGCTTTGCCAAAGGTAGATAAATTCTGTTTTTCAGCAGTCCTTGCCCCAAAAGGTCTAGTGTTTATTTTTAGATAAAATAGTGAATCTTTTTACCATACCATGTAACAGCTCCGTGACATCATGTCACGTGCCCCAAATTTGTAATTCTCCCCTCTCTGAGCTCTTTGCCTGCCTCCATTTCCACGTTTCTTTGGGGCCAAGAGTCTCATCTCTGTGCTTTTTTGGTTTATCACCTCCTGATTTGCCTTCACTGCTTGTCTGATGTGACTAACAGTGTGATCTTGGACACTTTAAGGATTTCAGATGCAAAGAAATGATATGACATTCTGAGAGACCATCCTTTCCATTTTGGTTATTTTACTATTTTTGTTGCAACCCAGGATTAGATTAGAGTTTCGGATGTAATGGGAAGCGGAATGATAGCATTCTATAAGTTTCCTACTGCTCTGTACCAAATTTCAGAGTTTCTGGAGTTTTCTACTGAAGATTATTTAGTCCAGTGAAAAAGGATAGATTGCTGGCCACTTAACATGCATTTGTTTGAGAGGATCTTTTTAGAAACTTTAGGAAAATGAAGTGGAACCAACTGGATGACATAAAGCACAGATGTTGGAGTAGGATGTAGTGAAGTGTGAACCATCAGGAGTCAGGCATGACTGGAGCTCCTGTCTCACAGGAGAGCACTCGGTGCCGGGTGAGCGAGGGAGCCAGTGTCAGAGGCCTGTGGCCTGGAGACCTGGGTGCTGCCCCTGGCTGGCTGTGGACCTTGGGCAAGTCCCTTATCCTTCCTGTGCCTCGCTCTCCTCATCTGCACATAGTGTGATGACATCTGTCCTCTCTTCCTACCTGAGCTTTGAGGGTACGATGAGACCCACAAGCTCTTGGAAGAGGCTGAGGCGGTGTGCGGCGGTGCCTTCTCTCTGATGTTCTCCTCAACCAGGGAACAGATGAGATTGGCAGAAGGAAGGAGCTCATGGTGCAGTAATTCTCTACTAAAGTGTGCCCACTGGCATCACCTCCTGATGTTGACTCAGATATCCTAAAACAGTCCAACTCTGTTCTGGGAGTCGCTGGCTCCCATGGAAATCCCCACGCTAAGCAGCCTTACAAAATCCAGTCCCCTTAAGGCAGGGTGAGTATCATGGTGTAATGACTCCAAATCCACATCAAAAATGACTTGTTTTCAACGACGTTACAAAGCAAAGGCTTTTTTTTTTTTTTTCTGGAAATGGGGCGGGGTGGGGGGAGGCGAGGATGACTGGGGGATTGAGGTCGAGATGTGGACAGAGATAGCATGTATTTTAAACAAAAGAAAAATTTTATGAATACAACTTTGCAAAATCAGTGGAGTGAAATCGCCATTTAAGATTACAGGCTAAAAATGATTTAATTTCAACAACTAGCCCTTTTGATGCCTAAATAATATTGCAAGAACATGTGCTATGGCTGCCTTTCTCTGCCTCTCAACACAAAGGGCTATTTCTACAAGGCAACGTTTTGTATATGTGCTATTCTTTACTTCGGATTGAGAGTTGGGAAAAACTGGAGCAAATAATGGGTTTCTTACTTGCTTAAAATGTATTTATATGTGTATCTTAATATATATAAGGCAGGTTTCCCTATAAATGTCTGGAATATACCGCTTAATTTTACACGTGTGTAGACGAGATTAATTTGTGACTGAAAACTGGAATAATGTGTGAATTGTGTCAACTGATGATCAGCCCGTTAGGAGTCCTCTTTGTGAGGCATGGTGGTATCATTGTGAAATTCTCACTGTGTGTGAGTGTCTGTGTGACGGACAGCGCATTCTTCCTGTAAATATCTTTTGATATCCATTTGTGTAGAATCCCAATGAACGTGTCTTTGGAAAATGTAATGTATCAAGGCTTTTATTTTGTCAGTTGATCTAATTGCCCTTATAATGAATCAGAAATCCAGTTTGGCTCAGGCTGGAATTTTCTTTGAAAGGAAAAAGAGTATGCAGAAAAGACTATTGGAAGAACCATGTGTTGATGGCATTCTACGTCAATGTTGCTTCAGTATTTTGGAATTGACTAGGCTGCTTTCTCCTACCTACAAGAGAATGTGCCCACCACTTCTCAGTTGCTCACTTTGGGCTGCAGAAGTCCAGCGAGAAGAACTTGAGCCTCTGGCGCTCTGCATCATTTATTCCCTTTACCTGAACCAGAGCCTTACCTATGGCTCATGGTGAGAACACCCGGGTCTGGATCCCGACTCCACCTCTAAGTATGACGGGGCCAAGTGGCTTTACCTTTCTGGGCCTTTTTCTTTAAAACAAGTGAGTGACTAGATGAGCCCAGAAGCCCCTTCTCGCCCTAACGTCTTACTTTATTTTTATTTTTCTGTGGTTTCACAAGGGTCAGACGTGAAAGGTGAGGAGTCCCTTAGAGGCTTGGGTGTCGTAGTTTTGCATTGTTACAGCTTATCCACCCCAGTTGAAGATGTGTCATTTTTAGTGTCCCCACCTCGTTTCTATTCCTGTTTCATGTGCCTGTTCTTTTTCGGGTAATCATTCCACTTTTTCCCCACTCTTGAAACCCACAATGCCACAGTCAACGGGGTCCTTTGCTCTGTCCCCCTCAAAAGTGACAACAAAAAAATCCATTTGAAATGCCCTCCCAGGGAAGCCTCAGAACCACCTTCAGCTAAATCTGTCGCATTGATGGCATATTTTAAAATACCAGGGGAGGGCGGGAAACAAAATTCTAATTCAGTGATAACTATGATCCCCAAATAAGTGCTGACAAAGTTGTCTACCACAGAGAGTTTTTTCCCCCCTTTGATCTCATAGGCATCACTGTTGCTAAATCACAGTGCAGGTCATCTTCAGGGAGATGGCAGGGAATGGGAGCTGGTCCACAGGATGGCATTAGATAAAATGTAATTCTGTCCCTTAGGTAATTCTGTCCATTAGGTGAAAGCAGGTCATAGAACTGCTCTGAAGTTTGTGTATAAGGTCACCTACACAGTGTAATGTAGGTTTCCCACTCAGTGAATCACCCTTGAAGAGTTTGCCTAAGATTCTCTACACCTGCGCTATTCAATATGGGAGCAACAGCTGCATGTGGCAAACGACCACTTGAAGTTTGGCTCATTTAGACAGACTGTGCCATACACACAAAATACACACCAAGTCTTGAAGGCTTGATACCAAAAAAGAATTTAAAATATCTCATCAATATTTTATAGTGATAACATGTTGAAATGACAATATTTTAGATATAGTGATTGCATAAAATATTAATAATTTAATAAACGTTATCTTTGCCTATTTTTATCTTTAATGTGGGGACTAAAGAATTTAAAATTAGGCACAGGGCTAACATCGTGCTTCTACTGTGCAGTACTACTCTTGACTTACATGGTGCAGGATGGGCAGTGACATACCATGGTAGGAAAGGTCATTCTATGAAGCATCTCAATAGACAGAAGCAACACAAATATCCTTGCTGGAGTCAGGAGTACTGTGAGGCACAGAACACCTCCCAGAAAGCAGACTTTTCTGCCTAAAAACCTATATATATATATTTTCCCCCCAATTAAGAAATAAAAGCAATTGAGCCCCAAACGACCTGCCTTCCAGCTCTGCCTGGAAGCTACTTCCTTTGCTCTCATTTTTCTGGCATCTTCCAGGTGCCAAGGATGTTAGCCACAGGAGGGTATTGGGCATATTTGTTTCGGTGGGGGCAACATTCTCTTGTGGTTCCCTTCCCCAGGTATTGTTGTCTGTTCAGAGCTGGGTGTGTTGAAATACCGTGCAAATTCTGCCACTCTGGATGTGCCGCTTCTCTTGGCCCTGGTAGGGGCTGATTCTGTTGTCTGTGCTCACCTGCCCTGGAGATTTTGATGCCGGCTCCTGAAAGCGTTTGTATTTATTTTATTTTGCACTAGTCACAATTGTTGTTTAAACTATATCAAATGTTTTGGGAGAGTATTTGCCTGTGATGGAAAGAGAGATGGATGATTTATTGCTTCAATTGTTTTAAATTAAAAGTTATTCTCACAATCTGAGGTCCTTTCATGACTCTTTTTTTTAAAAAAAAAAATACCAAGTCATCTAATTTTGCCACTGATAGTTCTTATCCATCGGTGGAAAAGGTAACTTGAGAGTGACTCATTTTATTTCTTTTTAGAGTTTCTAGTTGCCAGGCAGCCTTGGTGGCTGCTTGATCTACATCCAAAGTGGAACATTGGTGATGGCTCATTGTTACCTCTGGAGGAAGGAGGGTTGG